GCGACGGGAGGGCTTGCCAGGTGGCGGAGAGAGGGTCGTAAGCGTGGAAGTGCAGTGACGGGCTGTGGGGCGGGGCGAGCAGCGCGTAGAGGCAGTTGAAGGGTGGGAAGGTGGGGCTGTAGAGAAGGCGTCGCCATGAGTGGGAGAGTGTGAATAGCAGCTTTGGAGGCAGTGATGCGAGGCTTAGTTGGGCTATGTGGTCTGGCAGACCTGGGATCAGACCTTCTTCTTCTTCTTCTTCTTCTTCTTTTTGGCGTTTGGTGGAGTCCATGGGCATGGGCATGGACATGGATGAGATGCGATCCTATGTTTAAAGGATAGAAATTTGGAAAGTGGGGTTTGGTTCGTTGGTGATGTCAGGGAAGGAAGTTAGAAACTTAACTAAGGGACAACCTCCCCCGCTTTCACCTTTTTCCCAATTAACACTCTCCAACTACTCCATTTACAACTCCATTCATCACTTCTCACTATATTAAAAATAGTTTAATGTTATGATTATGATAAAATTTGACTAAATAAATTTATTTTAATAAAGGATATTCTTGTAAAAAAAATAAAAGAATTATGTATAATCACTTTTTTGAGGTACTTATTTCAATTGAGTTGAGGTCGATTTTGCAATGGTATTATGGTTATCAATTTCCAGGTAAGTGCACGTGGATGGTGTGAAGCAGTGCATTAAAGTGTTATGGATTTAAAAGCGGTGTTACTTATACCCTACCAATAGTTCTAAAAACCAAATTTACACTAAAGGTTAATACTTTTTTTTATAAAAAAAAGAATATGTAAAAGTTATGCATATATGCATTAACCAAACTTTATTTTTTAACTGTATGCGATGCAACCAAACCAAACCAATATTCTTTTGATGTTAAATCTCGTTAATTCTGAGTCAACGCACGTTTGGTCCAAAATTTAAGCATGGTAAGTTGAGAAAAAGGTGGTATTGTCGATTAATTTGGGTGCAGTTGGCGTGGGGCAGTTGGGCTATTAAAATACGAATGGTTCCAAAAAGTAGCCTCAATGGCACGCATGCTGCTTCAGCCACTTGTTTAACGTGAAAAGCCAATGTGTATCTATGCTATCACAACTCGACACCTGTTATGTTACTTTAATTATTTCTTTCTATTTTCTATTCATCTCCGATTCTACCATATAAGCTTAGTGTAACAGTTTTTATTAATTATTACCTTTTAATAATATTTGTGTGTTTTTAGATGCTTTAATAAATTTATCTGGATAAAAGATTAATTTGATTTTGAAGAAAAAAGTACATAAGATTTTATTTTTTTTAGAATTGAAACTCATAAACTCATTACTAAAGAAACTTAGAGAGATTTTAGAAAGAGGAATTTTAGAAGTTTTTGACATTTTTTCTTCTTCTTCTAGATTTCTTAAGCAGATTTTATGTTACATTATATGTTGGTATCTTTTGATTTTCAATATGATCAGATTGTTAAGGTCATGAAAATGATGATCACGATAATGCATTAGTAAAATGCTTATTTTGCTTAGATAGAGGTGAACAGGGCTACGGCTAAAATAGCCAAACCTATAGTGTCACAAGAGGGGAGGGACTTGACAGAATTCAGAAAGTGTCACCCTCTCCAGTTCAAAGTGGATTCAAATCTAGATGTGGTAAACCACTAAATGTGAGATGGAAATTATTTTTTTGGAGTGCTAGGCTATACTGAGGAGAGGAAGTTGACTTATGTTGTATACATGTTTGTTAGAGAGAAGGATTACTGGTGGAGAGACACCCATTAGATGTTGGAGAGTAGAGGGTGATTGTTGACAAAATGCTTCAATCGAGTATTTCTTGAGAAATACTTTTTCGATAGCCGGAGATAAGCTAAAGAGGTAGAGTTTATGCAATTGTATCAAGGGAACATGACAGTGTTGAAATATGCTATAAAGTTTGAGCATTTGACACGATTTTACTCTCGAACTATATCTGAAAAAGTTTCCAAAGGGGCTGAAATATGAATTGAAGTGTGTGATAGTTCTCACATCTATCACATAATTTTCTACCTTAGTTAAAAAGACAAAGACAATAGAACGATTGAAAGGTGGCAATGTTGGCAAGGCTATTAAGAGGCTGGAGGAGTCATCTAGGTCCAAGAGGAGAGGATAATAGAGGAGACCCTATGATAAACCTCATGATATTACAAACGTATTTTATTAGTGTAACATTTTAAGTGCATGCTTAAATTACAATTTACATGCTCTAAACCAAAATTTTAGATTTTAAATTCTCTAATAAACAAAAGTATTTATTTATTTTTTCTCTTACTTCCCTCTCTTCTCTTTTAAAATTAACATAAAAAAGTCAATAATTTTTTATTTATTAAATTTAAAATTAGTTAATATTTAATTTTATAAAATTTAATCTATGTGTGAATTTTACAAATACTTGAATTTTAAACCCTTTATAAAAATTTTCATTATAATCTTCCATCCAAACACACTTGAAGAAATAAAAATTAAATTTCATCCTCAAATAATAATAAAAAGACTGAATTGGTTTTAACAAAAAAATACATTGACAGTGGCAAATTTACTAAAGAATGTAAATATTTACTGGTTAACAAATTACTAGGAAAATAATGAAATTGGGTATAAAATCAAGATAGTGTCACGATATTTTTCCATATATTTTTTTTTAATTTCTTAACGAAGTTTTTGAAGATAATAGTTAATATTTTTTTAAAAATATTAATTGTCCAAATGCAATTACGAGAACTCGTGAAGTATTATTTAAAGGATCTTGTTAATTAGTGTCACAAGAGTATTAGTTAAGGAATTAATAATATTTGTTATTTTTTGAACTCAATAGTAATTTTTATTAAAATCAGATTATAAATATAGTGCAATTACAATAAAAATATATTAATAACATTATAAATATGCTTTATGCCCAATTTTATTTTACACTTCACCAACAACTCCAAGTCAGATGCTAGGTAACCAAACGAATCCAAAACAGTAAATAATTTTATTTATTAGGGATTTTTTTATAATTTTTTTAATACTATTAAGAGCCCCAAGTCCAATACTCACTAGCATGAAAAAGGTGTTTTTTGGTCTGTTTAAGACATCAATTTAATTTATGAGATGTGACTATTGGAATTCCAACTTATGAGATGTGACTATTGGAATTCCAACTGTATTTGTATTCTGTGGTTATTAGTAACCCTTCAATCTTCATCCTGGCCTCCATCTGCCACCGCACCAATATGATTTTTCATTCCAATGAAAATCTCGATTCTATGGTTATGTTTTTTTGTAGTAATTAAAAGTGAAACAGAGATATAAATGAATAAATAACATGAAAATAAAAAAGACAAGTTTTTTTTATATATTTTAAAATAAAAGTAGAAATAAAAGTTAATTATATATAATTAAAAATAAGAAAAAGGAAATGAAGAAATATCTTTCTAATTGTTAGAAATTAGAATGAGCTTAGTAAAAAAATAAACTATATGAATTTTAAAATTATATTTAACCCGAAAAGTTATACCTTTTATTCCATAATTTTTCCATAACATCTATTCTTTGTATGAAAAATATTTAATATTTTCTAAAACTAATTTGGAAAAGCAAATTTATTTTTCTTCTCGTTTCACGCCAACATAAAAAAAAAGTGACTCAAAAATAAAACCCCTCATTTTTCTTTTCAAACAAATTGAAAGTTTTAGCATTTCTATCTTTTTATCTATTTCTTTCCTCTTTATTTCTTCAAAAGCAATGTGTTACATCTGTTTACCAAAAAATAGTATATAAATTTTCAAGTTTTTCTACAAAATAAAAATATATTTTTAAAATAAATATTTAATATTTTATTATCTGACCAAGTGAAAATATCAAAATATATTTTCTTAATTTTTTAAAGCAATAAAGAAAGACATTTTAGAATAGATTGAGTAATAAAATCAAGGATCAGACTAAATGAATTACCGAGTCCCAGTTTTTCTTTTTAAATATTGCGTATGGTCTCTATTCAAATTTATATTTTATCAACTGTTTTTATAGATAAGAAAGATCAAGATATTTGTCATCCAGGTTCCTTTTTCCACTTTTGGATGAGCCAAAAGCTCAGTTTGTAAGAACGAATATACTTTTTTTCCTCAGTTGTGCCATAGTACATAAATTAAAACATAAATTGGCACGAGGACACGACCAGTTAGCATTCTTCATCTTCACTACTTTCAATAAGAACAAGATTTTTCTTGGTCTTCGACCTCTTCGCAGCCCTACCATCAGTTACTTGTTTATCAGCAGGCTTGAAATTTGAATATTTTTCAATTTGCTCAATTATTCTATGTCCATACTTTTCTGTCTTCAGTTTTCCAATTACCTTCTCCAACTGCGCGCACACAAACAAAAATTATAATTCTGGTTTGGATTACATCAATAACTTCTAGGAGCTGTTGAGTGACCCTAGTTGAAGCCTTAAACTAAGTGTGGATTGATGGAGAATGGAATGGAGTGAAATGATAATGAATGAAATTAAGTTCCATTATTAGGATTGTTAAAATAGAATGAAACGGAGAGGTACTTGATGGAATGCATTCTATCCCATCCTCCTTCCTTTTTCTTCTCCACTTTCAGAGGGTATAGGATGGAAGTATGGAAACATTATTTGTTTTCCCTACCATTATAAAAATATCTAAATAATGAAATGGTAAATTTGTTTGATAATTCCATTCCAATTTATTCACTTTTTCCATCCCCCATTTCATTCCAATCCACTTACCATAGCCTAAAGTAGCTTTTGACAATTTTTTTCAAATTAATTTTTGTTTAGATATTGATCAAAACACACCGGTACAAAACTAAATTGCATAACGTAGAACTTGCCTGCTCCAGTGAGTTAGGTTTTTGAGAACTTAACAAGTTGATTTGTTCAGTGGATAAGACAGAGTGTGGAAGTATTCCTCCATGGGCAGAGGACAGTTCTTTTCTCAGCTCATCAAGCTTTAGCTCCAAACCGGAGGACCCAAGGCTGCGTTTCACTGATCTTACACCAGCTTTAGTTCTCTGTTCAGTATAAATCTCAAGTTTCACAGATTTCTTCCCTGCACATAAAACAATGACATTCAGGGGAGAGTTGTGAACATCTGGACTGTGCAACAAATAAATTGCCAATAAAATGAAACATGGAAAATCTGATGTTTTCAACTCTATTGATAATAGTAGCTCGGGCAGCATAAATAATAACCAAACAGGTTACAAGAAGGAAATCAACATGTGTCCTTTACACTCTGCAAATTGAATGCTGGCGCGTTCACAAAAGTATTTTGGAGGAAGAATCAGAAAAAGGTGCAACCTAGGCCATAAATTGGAAAAATCAACTTACTTCATTGAATCAGTTTCTCATTAAAGAATTTCATGGTTGAATAAAGAAATA